TCCATGTATTTTGTATAAGCAACACAAAACGGACTAATACACTGGTTTATAATGAGCACAATAAGTTGGTGTGTGTTTTGGCTTAAACACGTCTTTTGAGAGTCCAGGTATAATAAATGAGACCCCTTTGCACAATATTTGACAAAACTGGAATTTCTAGTCCTGTACAATCAGTAGTATAGACATCCTAGATGACATCTCCATTTCATATCTAAAGCAATAACTTTTAACCATCTAAACGTCCTATCAGAATGAAGAATACATTTTAAACAAATGTCCACCATGGAAACCCTTCCAATCTCCATTTAAGAATTACTATTGTAGTAAGATAGCTATACTACTGGAAGTATGTTGTATGTCTCCAACATATTCAGTAGGGCGGAAAGGTTAAGCACTTTGACTTAGGCTGGGTTATGCCAGAAGTGGACTCTATGGAAAGATTTTGAGTGCAAATGGTAATTCCAGGATGCACTAGTAGGGAAGTGGGCAGTGGGCAAAGAGAAGAAAGCCTACACAGGGTGCATTCACAGAGATTCATAGACTGTGGGCAACTATGCTTAATTCTGCTGAGGACATCTAAAAGATGACATGGGAACCATTACCCCACTTGAGGGGGAACTTTCAAATATCCTGCTGTGTAATTTCTCTGGTCAGCAAGGAACCTGGATATGCATTCTCTAATTCCCACTCACCATTAGCTGAAAGTTAATGCCCCCAAGGGCATTAACTCCACAGCATTTCAGACAGAAAGCAAACCTCCATCAGGGGTTTACAGTAGGACTCCTGTTAGTGGCATGTGCTGGAATGGTGATTGCACTGATACCTGCTACATATCTGCTGGTTCCTGACTAGCTTCTCTCCCCTTCGGCTCTTGTAGTTCACCTTGTGTTGCCACTTCTCATAGTCCTTCATGTAGATCTTTTTGCTCCATCCAGAACAACTAGCATCTAACAGCCTATCACTTCTAAAATGGAACCTGTTTATTTGTTCTAATCAACAATACCC